GAGCGAGCGAGTGAGCGAGCGAGCGAGCGAGTGAGCGAGCGAGTGAGCGAGTGAGTGAGTGAGCGAGTGAACGAGTGAGCGAGCGAGTGAGCGAGTGAGCGAGTGAGTGAGTGAGTGAGCGAGTGAGCGAGTGAGTGAGCGAGTGAGTGAACGAGCGAGTGAGCGAGCTATTGAGTGAGTGAGCGAGTGAGTGAGTGTGTGAGTGAGTGAGTGAGTGAGCGAGCGAGCGAGTGAGTGAGTGAGTGAGCGAGTGAGTGAGCGAGTGAGCGAGCGAGTGGGTGAGTGAGCGAGTGAGTGAGCGAGCGAGTGAGTGAGTGAGCGAGCGAGTGAGCGAGCGAGTGAGTGAGTGAGCGAGTGAGTGAGCGAGCGAGCGAGTGAGCGAGCGAGTGAGTGAGTGAGTGAGCGAGCGAGTGAGTGAGTGAGCGAGCGAGTGAGTGAGTGAGTGAGTGAGCGAGTGAGCGAGCGAGTGAGTGAGTGAGCGAGTGAGTGAGCGAGTGAGTGAGCGAGTGAGTGAGTGAGCGAGCGAGTGAGCGAGCGAGCGAGTGAGCGAGCGAGTGAGTGAGCGAGCGAGTGAGCGAGTGAGCGAGTGAGCGAGCGAGCGAGTGAGCGAGTGAGTGAGCGAGCGAGCGAGTGAGTGAGCGAGCGAGCGAGTGAGCGAGCGAGTGAGCGAGTGAGCGAGTGAGCGAGCGAGTGAGTGAGTGAGCGAGTGAGCGAGCGAGTGAGCGAGTGAGTGAGTGAGCGAGTGAGTGAGTGAGCGAGCGAGTGAGTGAGCGAGCGAGTGAGTGAGTGAGTGAGCGAGTGAGCGAGCGAGTTGGAGTGAGTTGGAGTGAGTGAGCGAGCGAGTGAGTGAGTGAGCGAGCGAGCGAGTGAGTGAGCGAGTGAGCGAGCGAGTGAGCGAGTGAGTGAGCGAGCGAGTGAGCGAGTGAGCGAGCGAGTGAGCGAGCGAGCGAGCGAGCGAGTGAGTGAGCGAGTGAGTGAGCGAGCGAGCGAGTGAGCGAGTGAGCGAGTGAGTGAGCGAGTGAGTGAGCGAGTGAGCGAGCGAGCGAGCGAGCGAGTGAGTGAGCGAGTGAGTGAGTGAGCGAGCGAGCGAGTGAGTGAGCGAGTGAGCGAGTGAGTGAGCGAGTGAGCGAGCGAGCGAGCGAGCGAGTGAGTGAGCGAGTGAGTGAGTGAGCGAGTGAGTGAGTGAGCGAGTGAGTGAGTGAGCGAGTGAGCGAGTGAGCGAGCGAGTGAGTGAGTGAGCGAGTGAGTGAGTGAGCGAGCGAGTCAGCGAGCGAGTGAGTGAGTGAGTGAGCGAGTGAGTGAGTGAGCGAGTGAGTGAGTGAGCGAGCGAGCGAGTGAGTGAGCGAGTGAGTGAGTGAGCGAGCGAGTGAGCGAGCGAGTGAGCGAGCGAGCGAGCGAGCGAGTGAGTGAGCGAGTGAGTGAGTGAGCGAGCGAGCGAGTGAGTGAGCGAGTGAGCGAGTGAGTGAGCGAGTGAGCGAGCGAGCGAGCGAGCGAGTGAGCGAGCGAGTGAGTGAGTGAGTGAGCGAGTGAGTGAGTGAGCGAGTGAGTGAGTGAGCGAGTGAGCGAGTGAGCGAGCGAGTGAGTGAGTGAGCGAGTGAGTGAGTGAGCGAGTGAGTCAGCGAGCGAGTGAGTGAGTGAGCGAGCGAGCGAGCGAGTGAGCGAGTGAGCGAGTGAGCGAGTGAGCGAGTGAGTGAGCGAGTGAGCGAGCGAGTGAGCGAGTGAGCGAGTGAGCGAGTGAGCGAGCGAGCGAGTGAGCGAGCGAGCGAGCGAGCGAGCGAGCGAGCGAGCGAGTGAGCGAGTGAGTGAGCGAGTGAGTGAGCGAGTGAGCGAGTGAGCGAGTGAGTGAGCGAGCGAGCGAGCGAGCGAGCGAGTGAGTGAGCGAGCGAGTGAGCGAGTGAGTGAGCGAGTGAGCGAGTGAGCGAGTGAGCGAGCGAGTGAGCGAGTGAGCGAGCGAGTGAGCGAGTGAGCGAGTGAGCGAGCGAGCGAGTGAGTGAGTGAGCGAGTGAGTGAGCGAGTGAGTGAGTGAGCGAGCGAGCGAGCGAGTGAGCGAGCGAGCGAGCGAGTGAGCGAGTGAGCGAGCGAGCGAGCGAGCGAGCGAGTGAGTGAGCGAGTGAGCGAGCGAGTGAGTGAGCGAGTGAGTGAGCGAGTGAGTGAGTGAGTGAGTGAGCGAGTGAGTGAGTGAGTGAGTGAGCGAGTGAGTGAGCGAGTGAATGAGTGAGTGAATGAGTGAGTGAATGAGTGAGTGAATGAGATCCCACCTGAGCTGTGTGTTCGGCATTGGCGCTCAACACCACCTTGAGGCGCTCCGCCTCACGGAGGAGCTTGCTCTGGGCACGGGCGCTGCCTGCCAGCATCACCGCCAACGCACCACCAGCACCACCACCACCACCATCACCACCACCATCACCAGCACCACCACCATCACCACCACCACCAGCACCACCACCACCAGCACCACCACCGGAGCCGCCGGCTGTTGCCGTTGCCAGGAAGCGCTGTGAGAGCAGCGAGCGGAGGCGAACGTCCATCTCCATACCACCCAGCGTGGGGTCATAGCTGAGACACACAGAGAGAGACAGACACACACACAGAGACACAGACAGAGACAGGCGAACGTCCATCTCCATACCACCCAGCGTGGGGTCATAGCTGAGACACACACACAGAGACACACAGAGTCACACACACACAGAGACACAGAGAGAGAGAGACACACAGACACACAGAGAGACACAGAGAGACACACAGAGACAAGCGAACGTCCATCTCCATACCACCCAGCGTGGGGTCATAGCTGAGACACAGAGAGAGAGAGAGACAGAGAGACACAGAGAGACACACAGAGACAGGCGAACGTCCATCTCCATACCACCCAGCGTGGGGTCATAGCTGAGACACACACACACAGAGAGAGAGACACAGAGACACACAGAGAGACACACAGAGACACACACAGAGAGACAGGCGAACGTCCATCTCCATACCACCCAGCGTGGGGTCATAGCTGAGACACAGAGACACACAGAGACACACACAGAGAGACAGGCGAACGTCCATCTCCATACCACCCAGCGTGGGGTCATAGCTGAGACACACACAGAGACACAGAGAGAGAGACACACAGAGACACAGAGAGACACAGAGACAGGCGAACGTCCATCTCCATACCACCCAGCGTGGGGTCATAGCTGAGACACACAGAGAGAGACACACAGAGAGAGAGACACACACAGACACACACAGAGACACACAGACACACACACAGACACACACACAGAGACAGGCGAACGTCCATCTCCATACCGCCCAGCGTGGGGTCATAGCTGAGACACAGAGACACACAGAGACACACACAGAGAGACACAGAGACACACACACACACAGAGACACACACACACAGACACACACAGAGACACACAGAGACACACACACACACAGAGACACACACACACAGACACACAGAGTCACACACACAGAGACAGACAGAGAAACACAGAGACACACAGAGACACACAGAGACACACAGAGACACACACAGAGACAACAACAACAACAACCGCCATTCGCCACTAAGTGGCGGTGACGTCACCACGACGCTTGTGCCAGGCTATGTGCACCTTGAGGCCACGTGAAGTGTCGAACGCCCGCTGGCAGGAGGTCACGGGGCAGACCCAGCAGGTGCCACGGGTCGACTGACTGAGATGACTGGCTGATGCACCACCTGTGCCCCCTACTGTGCCAACCTGCTGTGCTTTAGCCACCCGGCGCTCCGCTCGCTGTTGTGAGCGTCGCTCCTCCGCCCTCCGTTGTTGTTGGAGGGCGACTGCCTCCAACTACCCAGTAGCGTCCTTCACGAGCCTCCTCCACAGAGGCCGATCTTGACACCGCTGGTACCAGTCATCGGCAAGTCCACACAGCTCCACGTCCTCCTGTACCACATCACTCCATCTCTTCTCTAGCCCGTGCCGCGCCCGCTTAGCCCCCTCAATCCGGCCAAACAAAAGCTGTTTCGGCATGCGGTGGCTGGGCATGCGGGCTACATGACCCGGCCATCGCAGCCTTGCCTGCCGGAGGAGCTCAACGATGGGACCTTGCCCAGATCTTTCAAGGATTTGTGAGCTCCTCACACAATCCAGTCTGGTTAAACCCAGGATGGATCGTAGGCAGGCCAGCCTAAATGTTTCTAACCGGCGAAGATGTTCCATTAGGGGGGTCCACGTTTCGCAAGCGTAGAGAAGGGAGGGAATGACCGTGGCCGAGAAGACCTGAAGCTTAGTGCGGAGCGACAGACCAGGTAGCTTCCACACAGCGTTACGCAACCGATGAAAAGATATTGCCGCTCGACTGATTCGGAGTGAGACCTCTGCTGTTAAACTGGAGCCAGTCATAAGCACACTGCCCAGGTATGGGAAACTCTCCACTCTCTCCACAACTGCCCCATCACCGATTGGGAGTTGTGGGGGTGGAGTGTCCGATGGTACAAAATACCCAGGCAGGTGCTTAGTTTTGGTGGGGCTGATGGTAAGGCCCCACCTCTTAGTGGCACGCTCCAGTCTCAGCAGCAGCGTCTCCAACTCATCCTCTGACTGAGCAGCTATTACCAAATCATCAGCATACATAACGTGGTTGAGCAATAGGGAGCCATCCCTTGACCGCACCCGGGCATCGATTAGCCTCCCATTATATCTGTACCATATGGAGATTCCCCCGGTACAGCTATTGAAGGCTTCACGAACTACGTGGTCAAAATAGATGTTAAATAATGTGGGAGCCAGAGGACATCCCTGTCGCACCCCAAGGTGTACAGGGAATGGCTCTGACTCCCGGCCACGTAGTTTTACCCGGGCCCGCTCACCATCATGAAGGTCCTTAATGATCGTGAGCAGAGGGTCAGGTACTCCAAAAGCACGAAGAACGACCCAGAGCCCAGGCCTACTGATGGTATCATAGGCCTTGACCAGGTCAATAAAGCAGAGATGTAGGTCTTGTTGGAATTCCCTACACCTCTGCTGTAGCAGACGGACAGAAAATATGGCATCTGTGCAGGACCGCCCTTTCCTGAAACCGCATTGGGGCTCCGCAAGCCTCTCCTCAGCGTGCCTGGCAAGGCGATGTTGAATAATCCTTGCCAGGACCTTTCCCGGCACACTGAGGAGTGAGATGCCCCTGTAGTTGTTACAGTCTGTACGGTCCCCCTTCTTAAAAAGGGGGACCACCAGGGCATCCTTCCAATCCTGCGGAACCCGTCCAGTGGTCCAGACTGTTGTTATGATGTCATATAGGGCAGTCTGTGCACAAACACCACCCTCCCTCAGCATTTCGCTTGGGAGATCATCTCTGCCCGCTGCCTTTCCTGGTCTCAGACTCCGAATCGCCTTCAATACTTCCTCAGCAGATGGCACCTCAGCCAGCCACTCACAGGGGGTGACTTCTTCCAATATTTGAGGCACCGCAGCCTCAGCAGGGTCATCCTCACTTTGTGCCACGATGTTTTCCTGGCTGAGGGATTTTCCCTCCCCCAGGACTTCACAGAAATACTCAGCAAATGTGCAAACCTGTTCCTGGGGGTCAGAGATTGGATCACCGTTTTTTCCCCTAATGATGGTAATAGGTGTGGCACTGCAGGTTACTTTTTTGATGGAGTTAAATAGAGATTTGTGATCACGGGCCACTGAGGCAGACTCCATCTCCTCAGCAACCCGCGACCACCACCCATCCTTGCAGCGCCTCACGGCTCTCCGAACCTCCGAGCGAAGGCTGCGGTAAGCCTCCTCATTCTCTGACGTGGGATTCTGTAGCCGATGACAGTGGGCCTGTCGCTTTTTCTCAACCATCGTGAACACCTCCTCTGTCAGCCAGGGTCTCTGGGGAGGTCTGGACCGCGTACCCAAAGCAGCCATTGCAGCTGCATGAGTCACAGTCCTAAACCTCGCCCATTTACCCTCGACATCAGGAGGAGTCGGGGACGATGCCAATCCCAGCCGCAAGCGATGATGAAATTCTCGCTTGCAACTTTCATCAGATAACTGAGACCAGGCCACTTTAGGTTGGAATGGGGTCCTGGGTGTACACCCACCACTGGAGTGGAAGAATGGCAGGCGCATCTTACAGATGACTAGTCGATGGTCAGAGGGCAGATCAGCTCCACGGTAGGTCCTGGTGTCAAGGACATGGGCTCGCATTCGCTGGTCCGTCACTATGTAGTCCAGCAGATGTTCTTGCTTGGACCCGGCATGCATCCATGATGTTGTGTGGATGCGCCGATGCCGGAACAGCGTGTTGGTAATTACAAGCCCATGGGCTGCACAAAAATCTAGCAGCCTCCTACCGTTGTTATTGAGCTGATCTGGCCCATGCCCTCCAATCACTCCAGACCAGGTGCCAGTATCATGACCAACTCGGGCATTGAAGTCACCCAACATGATGACTCTATCCCAAGGGGCCACTTTAGCCAGCACCTGTGACAGGTCATAGAAGGCATCTGACTCATCGGTCTTGCCTGCATCCCTCCACGGATGTTCATCTTCGGTGGGGGCATAAGTAACCACGACCACCATTCCTCGCCTCCGGTTGATGGGAAGGCGAGCCCAAAGTAGCCTGGGGCTTACAGCTTCCCACACCTCACCGCCACGCTCCCACGCCCCCTTCATTCTTTTGTTCAAAAGAAGACCCACACCCTGTTGTTTGGCAGTCTGCTGCCCCGAGTAGAGGACTGTCCACCCCTCATGGTGGCAGGAGCCAGAGCCGGTCCACCGGACCTCCTGAATGCCGCATAGATCCAGGCGGTACCGGTCCAGCTCCCGACAGAGGAGTGGCAGCCTCTCCTCCGCAGTGAGCGTTCGAACATTCCACGTGGCCACCCGTAGTGGCTTTTCGTTGTTTCTGGAGTAGCCCCGAGGGTAGGTATTCAATCTCCTGGCTCCGCCAATTGGGGTTTGGCCAGGAGACGTCATAGACGCCTGGCCCCCTGAGGCCTCCGGCACAAGCTTATTAGTTAACATATTTCAGTTTAATTCGTGTTTTAGTGGTAATTAATTGAAGGTGGAGGGGTTACCAGCCCCTCGCACCCGTCCAGAGCCCCCGTTTAGCCCCTGTGGTGGACACAGATGCCATGAGGGGAGGAGCCAATCAAAATTGGCCCTCCCCCCACAGCACTGTCCACGACAAGAGTTGCCGGTCCGGCACCGCGGGGAGGTAGGGGGTTGTTTGTGTGTCAGACACACACACACAGGACTGAGTGAGTGAGTGACTGAGTGAGTGAGTGACTGAGCGACTGACTGAGCGACTGACTGAGTGACTGAGTGAGTGACTGAGTGAGTGACTGAGCGACTGACTGAGCGACTGAGTGACTGAGTGAGTGACTGAGTGAGTGACTGAGTGAGTGACTGAGTGAGTGACTGAGTGAGTGACTGAGTGAGTGAGTGACTGAGTGAGTGACTGAGCGACTGACTGAGCGACTGACTGAGTGACTGAGTGAGTGACTGAGTGAGTGACTGAGTGAGTGACTGAGCGACTGACTGAGCGACTGACTGAGCGACTGACTGAGTGAGTGACTGAGTGAGTGACTGAGCGACTGACTGAGTGACTGAGTGGGTGACTGAGTGAGTGACTGAGTGAGTGACTGAGTAACTGAATGAGTGACTGAGTGAGTGAGTGACTGAGTGAGTGACTGAGTGACTGAGTGAGTGAGTGAGTGAGTGACTGAGTGAGTGACTGAGTGAGTGACTGAGTGAGTGAGTGAGTGACTGAGTGACTGAGTGAGTGACTGAGTGACTGAGTGAGTGAGTGACTGAGTGAGTGACTGAGTGAGTGACTGAGTGACTGAGTGAGTGAGTGACTGAGTGACTGAGTGAGTGACTGAGTGACTGACTGAGTGACTGAGTGAGTGACTGAGTGAGTGACTGAGTGAGTGACTGAGCGACTGAGTGAGTGACTGAGTGAGTGAGTGAGCGACTGAGTGACTGAGTGAGTGATTGACTGAGTGAGTGACTGACTGAGTGACTGACTGAGTGACTGAGTGAGTGACTGAGTGAGTGACTGACTGAGTGACTGAGTGACTGACTGAGTGAGTGACTGAGTGAGTGACTGAGTGAGTGACTGACTAACTGAGTGACTGAGTGACTGAGTGAGTGATTGAGTGACTGAGTGACTGAGTGACTGATTGAGTGACTGAGTGACTGATTGATTGACTGAGTGAGTGAGTGACTGAGTGAGTGACTGAGTGAGTGACTGACTGAGTGACTGATTGAGTTAGTGACTGAGTGACTGAGTGAGTGACTGAGTGACTGAGTGAGTGACTGAGTGAGTGACTGACCCAACTCCCCGCACAGTCACGTGAGGCTGTGTGTCTTTCTGAGTCTTCACCGTCTGGAACGTGACGATGGAGGCTGAGGAGCCACTCGCTCCAGCGTCGTAGAACAGCACATTCTGTGTGACACACACACAGTGACACACACACAGTGACACACACACACACACAGTGACACACACACACACAGTGTCACACACACACAGTGACACACACACACAGTGACACACACACACACACAGTGTGACACACACACACAGTGTGACACACACACACACAGTGTGACACACACAGTGACACACACACAGTGACACACACACAGTGACACACACACAGTGACACACACACACACAGTGACACACACACACAGTGACACACACACAGTGTGACACACACACACAGTGACACACACAGTGACACACACACAGTGACACACACAGTGACACACACACAGTGTGACACACACAGTGTCACACAGTGACACACACACAGTGACACACCCAGTGACACACACACAGTGACACACCCAGTGACACACACACAGTGACACACACACAGTGACACACACACAGTGTGACACACACACACAGTGTCACACAGTGACACACACACAGTGACACACATACACAGTGACACACACACAGTGACACACAGTGACACACACAGTGACACACACACAGTGACACACAGTGACACACATAGTGTCACACACACACAGTGTCACACACAGTGACACACACACAGTGACACACATACAGTGACACACACAGTTACACACAGTGACACACACACAGTGACACACACAGTGACACACACACAGTGACACACACACACAGTGTCACACACACAGTGTCACACACACAGTGACACACACACAGTGACACACACACACAGTGACACACACACAGTGACACACACAAACAGTGACACACACACAGTGACACACACACAGTGACACACACAGTGACACACACAGTGACACACACACACAGTGACACACAGTAACACACACACACACACAGTGACACACACACACGTACGTACGTGAGCGCTACTATTGATGAGCGAGGCTGTGAGTGACACACACACAGTGACACACACACAGTGACACACACACAGTGACACACACACAGTAACACACACACACAGTAACACACACACACACAGTGACACACACACACACACAGTGACACACACACAGTAACACACACACACACACACTGACACACACACACACTGACACGTGTACGTACGTGAGCGCTACTATTGATGAGCGAGGCTGTGAGTGACACAGTGACACACAGTGACACACACACACACACAGTGACACACACACACACAGTGACACACACACACACAGTGACACACACACACACACACTGACACACACACACACACACTGACACACACACACACAGTGACACACACACACACTGACACGTGTACGTACGTGAGCGCTACTATTGATGAGCGAGGCTGTGAGTGACACAGTGACACACACACACAGTGACACACACACAGTGACACACACACAGTGACACACACAGTGACACACACACACAGTGACACACACACAGTGACACACACACACTGACACACACACACACTGACACACGTGTACGTACGTGAGCGCTACTATTGATGAGCGAGGGTGTGAGTGACACAGTGACACACACACACAGTGACACACACACAGTGACACACACACACACACAGTAACACACACACTGAGACACATTGACACACACACACACAGTGACACACACACACACACAGTGACACACACACACAGTGACACACACACACACACACACACTGTGACACACACAGTGACACACAGTGACACACACAGTGACACACAGTGACACACACACAGTAACACACACACACACAGTGACACAAACACACACAGTGACACACACACACAGTGACACACACAGAGTGACACACACAGTGACACACACACACACAGTGACACACACAGTGACACACACACACACACTGACACACACACACACACACACAGTGACACACACACAGTGACACACACACACTGACACACACACAGTGACACACACACACAGTGACACAGTAACACACACACACACACTGACACACACACACACTGACACGTGTACGTACGTGAGCGCTACTATTGATGAGCGAGGCTGTGAGTGACACTGTGACACACACACACAGTGACACACACACACACAGTGACACACACAGTGACACACACACACACACAGTGACACACACACAGTGACACACACAGTGACACACACACACACACAGTGACACACACACACAGTGACACACACTGACACACACAGTGACACACACACAGTGACACACACACAGTAACACACACACACAGTAACACACACACACAGTGACACACACACAGTCACACACACACACAGTTACACACACACACACAGTGACACACAGACACACACACAGTGACACACACACACACAGTGACACACACACAGTGACACACACACACTGACACACGTGTACGTACGTGAGCGCTACTATTGATGAGCGAGGCTGTGAGTGACACAGTGACACACACACACAGTGACACACACACACAGTGACACACACACACACAGTAACACACACACTGAGACACATTGACACAGACACACACACAGTGACACACACACACACACAGTGACACACACACACACAGTAACACACGCACACACTGACACGTGTACGTACGTGAGCGCTACTATTGATGAGCGAGGCTGTGAGTGACACAGTGACACACACACACAGTGACACACACACACAGTGACACACACACACACAGTGACACACACACAGTGACACACACACAGTGACACACACACACAGTGACACACACACACAGTGACACACACACACAGTGACACACACACACAGTGACACACACACAGTGACACACACACACAGTGACACACACACAGTGACACACACACAGTGACACACACACACACAGTGACACACTGACACACACACACAGTGACACACACACAGTGACACACACAGTGACACACACACAGTGACACACACACACACGTGTACGTACGTGAGCGCTACTATTGATGAGCGAGGCTGTGAGTGACACACACACACACACAGTGACACACACACACACACTGACACACACACACAGTAACACACACACACAGTGAGACACACACACACTGACACACGTGTACGTACGTGAGCGCTACTATTGATGAGCGAGGCTGTGAGTGACACTGTGACACACACACACAGTGACACACACACACACAGTGACACACACACACACAGTGACACACACACACACAGTGACACACACACTGACACACACACACAGTGACACTGTGACACACACACACA